TCATCTACCAGACTCATGGACTGTGATGTGATAATGTTATGTTCTGCACATGTGGTTTTGTCCTCTAGCAGATTGCTTGTCATCTCTGCACTTGTCTTCTACATAGATGAAAGACTATTGACATCTGCCTGAGTCTCAACCTGTGGTTGTATAGCTATTATAACATAAGACAAATTTTACAATTTAGTAAAGCAAATTTTGTCTTTGTTTGGACACTAGCCTTTGACTAGTAATTTTTGCACTACGAAATGCAATCTGATTTGATCAAGTCAACAGAATAAGCAAGCTGATGGAGACTAAAGAACTGAATGTAACAGTAGCAAAATAATAAACAATAAACTTTGTATTAATGATCTTTTCATGGAAGCCAGTCTTTTTCAGATCCTCAGGCCCAAGATGGAAGCCTGGAATTTCTAAATGGGCTGTATGTTCTATTCCTGGCCTGTGGTGATTCCTTACATTTGATAGCCTTGAGTAGCCCTTGGATTTTGTCTGAATAATGGATGCTTTATTTCTAAGTAATCTGCAGAGCAAGTTGCTATTAGCTAAAGGTTGGGGTGGAAAAAACCAGATTATGCTTTATGCCTTATATGTCTTATGACTTCAGTTTATGTATATGTCTCAATACAATTGGTTCATGTGATATGTCTTAAAGGCAAAAGTTTTGGTGCAAGAATAACAAAAACAAACTCTTTTTTTAACCACCCCAAGATTCAGTTTTCTGTATATGTTCTGTGCTTTCTGTAGCTAGTTGCAATCAATACTTGTCTTCTGTTCTTTTGAACTTGCTATATTTTATAGGCCCAATCACTGTTTGATTTTCTGTTCACTTTGGTTGGGATTTCTGTCCCAATTTATCTGTAGGCTGTTGGCCAGCCACCAGCATAATTATGTCTGTTGCTGATACAGGGATTACACGAGTCTTCTTCGGTTCTGACTTTGTAACTGTGACAAAGTCGGAGGATGCTTCTTGGGAATTTTTAAAGCCTGAAATATTTGCAGCAATCATGGACTTTTCTACGTCTGGGAAGCCACTAATCATGGATTCAAATAGTTTGGATTCCACGGACACAGCTATCCATGAAGATGATTCAGAAACTGTAGCGATGATCAAAGAACTTTTGGAGACCCGTATTCGACCAGCAGTACAAGACGATGGTGGTGATATTGAGTACAGAGGATTTGTTCCAGAAACTGGAATAGTCAGACTAAAAATGCAAGGTGCATGCAGTGGTTGCCCTAGCTCATCTGTCACTCTGAAGTCTGGCATCGAAAACATGCTGATGCACTATGTTCCAGAAGTCAAAGGTGTGGAACAGGAACTTGATACTGAAGATGAAGATCCTGCACTGACTGGAGCAGCTTATGAGTAGTTGAAGTGCTAGAAATTAGGTAACAAGTGCAGAAGATTTCTTGTATCTAGCAGTTGTATGTGCCAATTTTTGCCTAGATAGTGTGAGGATTAAAGTCATTTTCTTGATTTCCCATCAACATGACTTTTATATCTTCTTCTTGGAAATATCACCATTGCTTTATCTTGCTTGTCTGATCTTGACACCGTATTTAGAAGTCCAGACTTTATTAACCGCCTAAACTTGTCTGATCTTGATAGTAGCCACTCATGGTCGTCAATCCCTTCCCTGCAGCTAGGACGTAATTCTGCTTAGTGACATTTTTTATTTGTTTAAATTCAATGTGGTACCGTAGTACTGTGTCCAAGGTTCTCCCAGTAATGAAAACATGGGAACCAAGACAACTTACTGGGTACCTTTTATATTGCATTTCTGATATGTTGGTTATTTCGAGAAGGATAGGAATAGGGTTTGCGAACAAGCAATAGCAAAACGTGTGTCAGGTTGATTATGGTCTTCTTCTCGTGCAGGTTTTGTTAGGGTAAACATAGAGTGGGCAGGCAGCAAAAGCAAAACTGGATTAGGTAACGCACCAGAGATGGATCAAAGGTCCAGACAATAGCTTTGGAAACCTAGTAGTGGATTCGGCTTCAATTGTGTCCTTGAAGTTTTAGCAAATTCTTCCATTTTTCTTGTTCCTCTAGGAGTTTGTATTCTAATCTGAAGTAGGGCAAACAGATGAAGACGTCCTAGGTTGTGCATTCATTCTTCCATATACAAAGGCAAGTCCAGTAAATCAATAATACTTCTTTGGTCAATGATTCATTTCATCCATTAAATTTCACGAACTACGTTTATGCTGTTTTCAAAGACCTCTGCTCAAAATCCTAAACCCAAAAAAAGTCGTGTCAATTTATTAATCATGCCTTGGGTTCTTGGCAACAATACGTGTAACCTCAAAACCCAACGCATACACCGTTCTTTTTGGTATCTGCTTCAGCAGGTTGCATGCGTTTTACATGCTTCAGCCAAAAAGATAACTGAATAAACAAGTGAATGGATGGAAAGTAACATTAGGCTGTTCTCGTGATCTATAATTGTATGAAAATGTCTATGACCATTTCTGATAACGTATATGGTAATTAATTGGTTAATGTGAAAAATTTTGTGCACCATTTTAAGCAAATGGAGTTTAAAAATCGAAATTTGAATTTTTGGATGCAACTGCATAAACCAAGACAAAGGAGAAAAATGTCTTGTATCGTTAACTCTTCACAATGTGCAACTTAACAAGCTTTTAGTGCTAAATAGTGGGATTTGCCTCACTTTCAACCAAACCCATGCTTCATTGGTAAATGCAAAGAACGTACCCGCGTCAGTTTTCAATGTAACTTCAATTGCTGCAACGATTTATCACCTCCCCTTGCCTTATTAAAAGCTAGCAAAAGAATGAAAAAGTGAAAATAATATATAAAGCAAAGAAGAGAGAGCGTCTTTTCTGATGTTCTTGAGTGTGGGGTGATCAGTCCAGAGAAGAGTTCAGGAGAGTGCTTACAAGAGGAAAAAAATGGTGGGGTGGTGGAGAAACAAGAGAGAAGCTAGACTATCGGTCCAACTGCTGCTGCCACTGTGTGTTCGCTGGATAGCTGAAGAAATGACTGATTCAGTTCTTGCAGATGCCACCACTAATGCTCTTTGTCCTGGCCATTTTTTAGAAAGGCATTGAAGATGGTTCAAGAGCAATATAACTCATTGAGACATCCTGCACGTCCTGTTATTAGCATGTAATGCTACAAGCTTTATTCCTTCGTCTTTGATGATTTAAGCGTCCGATTCATATTGTCATTTCGCTATATTTTTATAGTGCTTTAATGTAGCTTTTCCTACCCTTTATGGTTTGTGAATGGATACATCAGCATATTATCTTTTTCACTTTTCTGAATAACTCTGTTTGCTCCTCAGCCCATTGCTGAAGTGCATGTCTCTTGTTTCTGTTTCCATTCTTCCCCTGTTAACGAATGGTCGACTTGAAGACCTGGAAAAGGTTAAATGTATTAGATATGGTAGGTCTAAAGTGGGATGGCTGGCTTCATATCTCATGACAGGGTAAATTGCAAGGATCTATTGCCGGTGTGACTCTAGTCACCAGTAGACGGCTCCATTGACCTCACCTGTGAGGTAGCGCGCAATTTCGCAATTTTGTCCAGACATTATAGGATTCTTCCTCAATTTTTGCTTTGCTGCCTTTTTCATGTCCAGTAAAGTACGCCATTGTCGTGTCCAATTCCTTCTCATGCATGGTATATGCTGAGATACTTCATTGTCTATTCCGCATGGAACAAATAGAGAAACTTCGTTGATAGTGCCATAATTTAACTTTTATTATTTGGTCTCTTTGGACGGACAGGAATAATTACACAAGAAACAATAAGAGTGCGTTTGATAAAACTGAAGGTTGAAATCTGAAATTTAAAGTCTGAGGTTTGAATTCATTAAGTTATTGAATTGTTAAATGTTAAATCAAATATATTTGAGTGTATATCACATTCAGTGATAAGTGAATAGTTTATCACTTATTTTTTAAAATCAATTTTACCTAGAAAATTCAGTGCTACTTAATTAATTCAGATGTTCAATTTTGATTATTAATCACATTTGAACATATTAGCATCTGAATCTATTAAGTTTAAGTGTTGAATTGGATTATCAAACATGACTTAAGTGTGTTTGGATACTCATTATTTAGAAAAATTATTTATTTTGACACTGTTATACTTTTTTATAATGTGATATATATATATGAGAGAAAAAGATTAAAAATATATTTATTATATAATTCAAATAATTATTTCATATAATGATATATCCAAACACACATAATATTTTTCCTAGCCAAACAAAAAGAGTTTCGTTGGTTGCATTTTCATCCTTTTATTCATGTAGTCAAGTCCTTTAAAAAAAAGGACTTCCAAATACCAAATGCATGATTGTAATTGAGATTTTTTTTTTAGACCAACAACTCAGGAAACTTACAGTAATGTAATGAAGAATATCTGTCTAATGTTCATAATGACATGTTTTAATTGTACATGCTAAAAAGAAAATTATTTTAGAAGTTTATGGAAAAATTTAACCTTGACTACCATTCCATGTCCATAAAAATTAAATGGCAAACGCGAACATGTTCTTCACCTGTAGACGAAAAGTGGCAAATTAACATGATGCTCCAATAGGCTTATTCTGAGTTGACAGCAACAAGCCATCATCCGCAGTTGGCCGGCGGAGCGTATTAATGTTCTTGTTTGTGTGTGTGTGCGTGTGTGTGCGTGAGAGTCATAAGAGCAAGACGAGAGTGTTGAGGAGAGGTGAAAGAAATGGTTGGAATGTGGTGGTGGAAAAACAAGAGAGAGGTGCGACTACTGGTGCACCTACTGCTGCCACTGAGTGTTCACTTTGTAGCCGAAGAGATGACTAAATCAGTTCTTGTGGACGTCACCACTAATGTTCTTTGTCCAGGCCAGTCCACATGCCCGGAGGCCATCGACCTCAATGGTCTTCAACAAACCGTAAGAGATTCTCAAGCTGCATGGATAATCTCCCAACCCCTTCTCTGCCAATGCATGTTTTTACTGGTTATGTAAGGTGGGATTTGCGTGTTTTTTAATTCAAGAAGATGGATAAAGTAAATTCTCGTTTTTTGGTGGGCTGCATTATGCTTTCAATCTGACCAATTGGCACTTTAATCAACTCCATTTACTGCTTTAATGACCTGACATTCTTGATATTTTTGAACTTCATTCATACCAAACTCTTTAGATGGACTCCACCAATGAGAGGCTACGGACTAATTAATCGTGATCAGTTGTTGCTAAGATGGGTCTTTTTGGCGTTAATTCTGCAGTATTCTTGTCTGTTGGAAGTTAAGGCCTGCAAAAGAGTAACAACCCACGAGCTTTTGCAGCTAGTTGGGCGGTTTATGGAAGTTCTGATTTTGACAACAGTCCAGAGGCATTGCATGATGTTGTCCTTTCCATCCTCTAATAACTTCGCAAAGCTAAAAATGTGTTACTGGGCACATTTTTCTTAGTAATAATAAAATTTTTCTATGAAATTCTGGTTCTTACGTGTTTCAATCATGCCAAAATTGGTCAAAGCTTCCTTATGTAATTTTGCTTTAATTAAATTAAAAATTTATTTTTATTGAAGTTCATACTTACAGAAATTCATAATGAGGCGAAATAAATGATCCTTTAAATGGAGGGGTTTTTTTTCGGGTAATTTTAAATGAAGGGTATGTTAATGTCACGGGAAATTTTGGTGGAATCTGAAGGTACGATTAAAATCATGTAGGATTTTTGCAATTTCTAGCATAACTTTTCCCATAGGAAAATTCATCCTCTTTCACAGTTTCTTTGAGTGAAGTTTGAACAATATGATCTCCATTAGTATAGAGGAATTCCACTATGTAATAAATTTCAGGTCTACAATTAGGTTTAGATGAAATGAGGAATTGAATTCTTGATAGTTGATTTTCGTAGACTAACCAACCCCAACAGGGGATAATAACTTAGCTTAATTGGTAAATAACTGGCGACATGTATGAATATTGGCAATCATTGGCTGGTATGAACCAGAAGAGTTATTTATTTGCTAGGATGGATACTGAAAACAGTGCCGGAAGTAATCTTGACCTAGTCAAACAGAACTGATAGAATGGTGTTTATGTGAATGTGGGGAGATCATCACTTTGCACAGATTTGGTATACTGTGTTTACTGTTTGGTTTTCCTTTCTTCACCTTCTTCTTTTTGTTCTTGGATGGGATAAGTTTCCTCTTATGTACTATGTGCTGTCACAAGTAGACTGTTGGAATCTTCAAGATGGTGGTTCTTCCAGTTCTAGGTCAACTTTCAGATGATTATGGTCGAAAGCCACTCCTCCTTGCAACATTTTCTGCTGATATTCTTCCTTTCGGTACGCACTTCATAAACATTTCTTTCTTTTTTTAGGTGAAGTTAATAACTTTGACATCAACATTTTGTATTCCCTCAAAAGTTTCGTGAATTCGTGGAAATGATAAGGCTTTACTCCAATGTTAATTTTTTATCTTGATTCCTACATAAATGTGTCTTGTATTTCTTCAGCTGTGCTCGCAATCAATAAATCAAAGGGGTTTGTGTATGCGTTCTACGTTTTGCGGTTTGTTTCTCTGATCTTCAGTCAAGGAAGTATTTACTGCATTGCTGCTGCTTACCTGGTAACAACTTCATTCAATACCTTTTGGGCACAGATCCTTCTTGCAATTATAATAAAAGTAAAAAGGGCATTTTCTGTTTTCTGACAGGCGGATGTTGTTGATGACAACAAGAAGGCTACAGGTTTTAGCTGGATGATGGGCCTAATTTCTGCATCCCGTGTCCTGGGAAATGTTCTTGCTCGTTTTCTTCCTGGGACTTGTTTTTTTGAGGCATGTTACTGCAATTATCTGAGAGCTATGCGACAATTAATGCTTGCCTAATTTTTAAAGCTACTGTTTCGCAAGTCAATTTTTCCATTTCAGGTTGCAATAGCCCTCCTGATCTTTTGTCCTGTATATATGACACTCTTTCTGGCTGAGACTATAACTCCAGCTCCAAAGGTTGACCAGTGTCTGCCATACTTCAAGAAGGCGTTTAAGCTTATTCAAGAACAATATGACAATATCAGATATGCTGCGGGTGTGGTTATTAGCAGGTAGATAATCATTTTCTTCTGTAGTTTAACCCCTCAAATGTCCAATACATGGTTTGGTTTATCTTGTGCCTTAGATTGTAGTATTCTTCCTCTTCATGATTTATAGGTGACTGACAGCTGCATACTACAGTTTACGCTTTCTGAACAATTTTCATTTTCTCCTCAGCCCTACACTGAAGTCCGTTTCACTTGCTTTATTCTTCTATGAATTGGGGATGTCTGGCGCCACTAGCACTCTACTGGTATGTTATCTATAATATAAAAGATGAACTCAACTGCTTGAAGTTCTATTAGATATAGGTGATTCAGTTGGTGTCCAATACTATTCATTTGAAACTTTTTTGCAGCAAAATATCAAACAGTAGGTTTAATATTCAGTTAGCAGGACGAAATTTTGATAATGAAGCAAAAGAAATTTGATGGCTTTGCTACGGAATCGCGTATCTTTGCCAATCATAAACTTATGGATGCATCATGGGAAATTTGAACAAAATTCATTGAGTTTACCTCAGTTTCCTGCTAGTTGGTTGAGATTCTTTTTGATTCCATCTTCTGTCCTATTCTAGGCTTGGTTTTGCATTTTACTTTTGGAAAAACCTCTGGCTAAGAGCCTCTTGAACTAGGAAATACCATATATTGCGGAATGTTTGTGCTTAGATTGAAGTCCTCAAGCATCTATTTCGTACTCATGTTTGGAGCATATTGATGAACACGAAAAAGGCAAAACACAAAGGAAACATGAGAAGGCAGTATTAATTGTTCTTGTATATTTATTTCCCATCAACATGGATTATCATTAGCTTAGGGAGATCTCCTTGGTCATCTTTTCTTTCCTGGCAGAGAAGTTCAACAAAGAAGTTATGAAAAGCTTTGATAAATGAAAAGGACAATTCGTTGCAGAACTTCAGTTTCAATGACAGGCATCTTTTTAAGTGATTGTATACTCGCATAGATACATCAATGTGGTAAAGTTTAAGTCGGTTGCTCAAACATAGCAATCAATTGCTTAATTTTGCAATCATATTTAAGTGTATCCTTCATTTGTTAAATTGGTCAATTAATCCTTGATTTCACAACCCCAACTTCATTATTCCCTTGATAGAGGAATTAGACTTATTGATGATCCTTAGAAGTTCAGTACAGGTTTTTGCTATTTATTTGCAAATTTTTGTTTTTTCACTTCTGTGGGTTGAACTTCTCTCTTTTGTGTGGGTTCCTTTTTGTCATCAAGCTACACATAATGACTCTACAGTTATTCTTCCAACCAAGAAATTTTCCCCTTTTTTCGTGACATTTATCTCAAAAGTCAAAACTACTTGAGAGTCATTTTCCATCTAAAATGTTCCTGCTGCGCTGTGTTTAGGTCTGCCTAGCTCCTTTTGGCTTTCCTATCAGTGTATTTAGTTTCTGCTACTTTTGCAGTATTATCTGAAGGCGGCTTTTGGTTTTGACAAAAATCAATTTTCAGAAATTTTGATGGTGGTTGATATTGGTGCAGTCATTTCTCAGGTAATTTACAACCCATTGCTTTCGTTCTATGACATTAACTCCTGAAGCAGTTTTTACTTGGTGACCTGATCAACCTAGAAATGGATCTGTGTAGCTCAGTAGAATGACAAGCTGAAAATAGCAAGATCCGTAGGCACATTAGCTTTTCACTAATTCAACACGTTTAAAAGGGATCTTCTAGAGTTTATTTTTCTTCTTTCGAATCTTATGGATGATTAAATTGTCCATGCAGCTAAAAAAAAGTGCATGTACAGTAGATACTTAAGATAACCAAACAGGTCTAAGAAGCAGAAAAAGATATTACCGTGTGGGACATTTAGGTCAACCCTCTCTTTCTCCCTCCTATTCTTGGTCATTCCATCATAGACAGATCTGCATACAAGATATATGCACACGGTATATTGCTTTTTATTCAACATTACTCAGATTCAGTTGTAGCCACGTAAGTTCATTACTGATTGAGGCTTGAATAGTTTACTTAACCACCCTCATGATTTTTGCCTTTCAAGTGCCTTGAGTCCTCCACAACTTCTTTAACTTCTTTACTCACTATTTGCTAAAATTGTATTTCTTCTGTAGTTGCTGGTGCTTCCGATCATCACCCCTTTGGTTGGAGAGAAACTTATCCTTTGTGCAGCATTACTCTCGAATGCAGTATATGTAAGCTGCCTAGTTAATGTAGCACCTGGTTTGTCAAACTTTGTTTTTGTTATAGTGCTTATACCATGAAATTTGATCGATAGAGATACTCTCTGTTTACAGGCCTTGCTTTTTGGCTTAGCCTGGGCACCATGGGTAAGAGCAACTCTTCCATACAAAATAAATTGGTAAAAAAATGTACCATTAACGGAGAGAGAGGAGAGTAAAGAAGCACGACTGTTTCATGTTTACTCTGCATTGGTACCAAATTAGCACTACAAACATGACGGCCAAAACTTGAAACTACAATGTCAATGAAAAGTTCTTTACCAGCCATCCATTCGTAATACAGGTAACCTACTCCATTGCTGCTTTTGGAGTTGTTAACGTCCTTGTGAGACCTTCTGTAAGTGACTTTTCCGGTAATATGCAAACGTGTGCAATTGTGCTCTTCAAAATTCGTCATTTCATATGTGCTCCATTTTAACATGTTTGGTCGATTGCAGAGCTTTGCTCTCATATCCAAAGCAGCAAGTTCAACTGATCAGGTGGCTATCTTATTTGAAACATGAAGGAAAGCTTTCAAGTTATTGGAATTGGTAGCTATCTAATTGAATTATTGACTTCGTGTCTTAATCACAGGGAAAGGCACAAGGAATTATTTTAGGCGTCCAGTCATTTTCGAGTTTGTTGTCGCCACTAGCAATGACACCACTAACCAGTAAGTAAGCTACTTTTGCAATCTTTTTCAGATTTTAGAAGATTTTGGCTTAGTTGTTTAAGAAATTTTTTGATGCTCTAGACTTGTTCCTGTCAAGAGATGCACCATTCAACTGCAAAGGCTTCAGCTTTGTGTGTGCATCTTTATCTGTGGTATGCCTCTCCACCTCCTTGCTTTCACCTGTCGTCTCTCCTTATGAATTTTAAATCTCCAAATATGAGTGTCAGCGCTTCGGGTCCTAACTCCGGTGCTTGCTTCCTTTTCATAGGCTATTGCACTTTGTTTCGCTTTTATGTTGAAGCCAGATACTTCGAAGAAACCCTTGGAGGTTGATGCAGAACACAATAAAGCACCACTTTTGTCATAGCGTATATATGGTGCCAAGGAGGAGTCGGCATCCTCTGAAGCTGTAGAAGCATCACTCTCGTCATATTGTCTGGTGCTAGTAACTCCATTTAAACCGGTCGGCAAGTCCTTCAATGCTGTGGTCTTTTTCCAACCTAGAGTTGTATCTATGATTTGGTCTCATTCTCATGTAATATGGCCATTGGCCTATTTCTGAATAATTTGTGTGTGTGTGTGTGTGTGTTTCAATCTATAGTTCTGTTATGCTTAATTTGCATTCCTTTCTGAGCGTGATGCCTGATTTGTACTCCATTCATTGACTGTTTTTCAAGTGATTTCCTGGTCATAATTCACACTGGATTCCTGAAGTGGAAAGGGGGCTTTCTTGATCCTCTTTTTTTTTTTTCACTTTGCACTTCCTGCCATTTCGTACACAATTCTATGCATGTTTTGCAACATAAAAAAGATAGATTATGCAAAAACATGTTCTTTTTAATAATAATATGGGTTAATTACATTTACCTCCCCTGAGGTTTGACCAAATAACGAATCGATCCCTGAGATTTGACCAAATAACAAAAAGGTCCCTCAACCGTTAGTCTTTGCCGTTGACTGTTAGGGTTAATTACATTTACCCCCCTGAGATTTGACCAAATAATGAATCGATCCCTAAAATTTGTCCAAATAACAGATTCCTCCCCCACACTAACTTCTGTCACTTATATGTAACGGAAATAGCCAAAAGTCTGAATAACCCTTATTGATTTCCATCAAATTTTTGACCTATCGATTTTTGTGTTTTCAGAAAAAAATTTTGGTTAACAGATAAAATTTTGAATCCAACAAATTATTAATTTATTTAACAGATAAAAGCAGAGTAAATTTTGATAGACCTTGTAATGCAAAATTTGCCATACACGTATTTTGTAATTTGGTGAAATAGTGTGACAAAATTTGGATTACATGGGGTAATATCCATTATCCCATAAAATACCAGTGCTTTACGACTTTTCCCAATTATATGAACAAAGTACCTATTTTTTCAAAAAATAATTTATTTAAAAGATAAAGTAAAATTAAAATTTCTAGCAAATAAGGGGTTGAAAATGTAGTATGCATTTTTTCTTTCCATAATGTACCAGCTCCTTATACTTTTCCTATATTATATAAATGAAGTGACAGAAGTTAGTGTGGGGGAGGAATCTGTTATTTGATCAAATTTTAGGGATCGATTCGTTATTTGGTCAAATCTCAAGGGGGTAAATGTAATTAACCCTAACAGTCAACGGCAAAGACTAACGGTTGAGGGACCTTTTTGTTATTTGGTCAAATCTCAGGGATCGATTCGTTATTTGGTCAAACCTCAGGGGAGGTAAATGTAATTAACCCTAATAATAATCTCTTACCAAATTCAGTTACCATTGTTCGCATGTACTACAAAACAAAGTCAGCATTAAATTGCTAAAAGGTAAACGGGTCTGTATCTTTTGTGACTACCACAGAGTTCGTATAATCAAGAACTGCAATTGCGGAGTTTCTGTTTTTAAGTGGTCCACATATGTATGCCGATTTATCTCTGAATCATGTCAAAGAAATTAAGACCTTAATATAAAACTAGGATTATTATCCAAGCCTTTGATTTAAAGTTGGGCAGGAGTAATTAAGACTTCAATTGCCCACGAAAGCCACTTGATGGCACGCACGTGACACGCCCATCAAGGGTGCGCCTCACCCAATGCTGCATGCCTGTTTTCCTTCCATGGGAAGGATTCTGTTGACTGGTTCAAACTTCAAAACCAAAGGCACAACCTGGGAAACTCCTACTACTATGAATTAGTATATTAGTAGGGAATATATTAGTAGGGAAGTTCAGCCAAAGCCATTGCTTCTTTTACGTCAGTATCCTTATATTCAACTGCCGGCAGCCCCAGCACCACCACATAGAACCTTCATCCCTCTGGTTATCTGTTTTAAGGGTCTTTTTTTTTTGTGTCAGAGGAAAAACCGAAAAAGAAATGGTGGGGTGGTGGAAAAACAACAGAGAAGTGAGACTACTGGTGCACCTACTGCTCCCACTCTGTCTTCATTGGACAGCTGAAGAGATGACTCATTCAGTTCTTGTAGATGTAACTACTAATGCTCTTTGTCCAGCCCAATCCACCTGCCCTCAAGCCATCTATCTCAATGGTCTTCAGCAAACCGTAAGAGAATTTTATTCTGCGTGAATGGATGAACGAAAGAATGATGATTTCCCCACTCCCCTTTTTATTTCCGTGTGATTTTTTCGTGTGTATCTGTTTCATATACATATATTCTTCATCCATCAGTGGAGGTGTTCATAGGAATTGAAGTGGGATTCTCTCTGTTTTGGAGAAGTCTTTCTTTAATGGGATAATGGTTTGAAATTTACCAGTTTTTCTGAAGTTGAAACTGTTGCTACCAACAGTTAACTTAGATGGTTTAATCACGTCAGATTCTTGACCTTGAATTGTTCAGTAATTCTTTGTAGACTTTCATCTAGAAATTTGAACTATGTTGATAATGGTTACCTATCTGTTTGACATAATGGTATTTCAAAGGTAGCATAAGTGCATAACAACGTCTTCGTTGGACTATCCTATGCTATGCTTGACATATGCTTATTTTTTTTCCATTTCTCACCTTAAAGAACTTTGTTAGTGTACTAACAATTTTCTTTTGTATCGTTAAGCCATTGCCCTCTTGATAATGTTGCCTAATAAAGTTATGGGATAATTGCAGAAACCTCCCCTGAAGTTTTTAATACTAACACTCACCTCCCTTATGGTTTAGAAAATAGCACTTACCACTCTTGAATTTAAGGTTTGTGTTGCAGATTCAGTCCATGCCAGAAAAGTTACCATTAAAAATTTTGAGATGAGGATTTGCACCAAATTTGCCCTTAATGCTACTTGCCAAGTTGTATTAACAAAGGAATGACAAAATATGAAAAGCTATAAAGAAGGGTAAAAAACAAAAAAGCCCCCTGTGATAAACCTAATACACAGAAAAGCCCCCCATGGTTTCAAAATATACAACACGACCCCTCATGCTTTGAACTAAATTGTAAAGGTGACGGAATCCGTTAAACTTAACGGAAATGGTCAAAATGACCAAAATACCCTGATATAATTCAACAAAAAAACAGCTCAAAAAATCATTTATTTTATTTTCTAAGTAGAGAGAATTGAGAGTTAAGGGGTAGAATAGGTATATTTGATAAAAATTAGGTATAAAAATTTTTTTTTAGGTTCCAATATGTCATTTCCGTTAAGTTTAACGGATTCCGTCACCTTTACAATTTAGTTCAAAGCATGAGGGGTCGTGTTGTATATTTTGAAACCATGGGGGGCTTTTCTGTGTATTAGGTTTATCACATGGGGTTTTTTTGTTTTTAACCCTATAAAGAATTAGCAAAATTCAAGGAGTGTAAGTACAATTGAATGAATTTTACCAACGAAACAACGGTGAATACTAACGGCTAGTTAAATGACTATATATCCAGGTTATTGCAACAAAGTTTATAAAGAATACACGTCACTTTTAAAACTCTCTATTAGTAATATGAATAGCTATTTATAGGGGTAACACAACTGTTTATGTTGTCAACTCTAATCATATACCTAAAAAAAAATATCGCTGAGCAATCAGCTAATTAATAGCATACTTAAACATCATTAAAAGTTACTGAGCATGAGATAAGTCTAGTTACAAGTAATTAGAAATACATACTAATAAGATAAAGTTGTCTTTAGTAAATGAAAACTGCAGTAAGTGCATTAGAATTACGTACTAAAATTGCTACTGCTGTTGATATTTTCAGATTACAGGGTTATAACTGTATTAATGGAAAGAGATGTAGCAACTTGAGAAGTAGTTGTGGGCTGAACTAGAGGAGATTTTGAAATAAAAATGACTTGAGCAGATATATTTATGCAAGTTCTCTTTATACTTACTTTAGTAGAAACTCCATAATTGCTTACTGATTTTCCTCCCTGCAATTTTATAAAATTAGACTTAAATTGACTGGTTCGAAGAACATAATATAGAAACATGTACGCTGTTTTCTCCCCTCAGTTGGCACCATTCCTTAGTTTTGCTTACAATGGCTAATGATACTAAAATTCACAGGTAATCTAATTTAATTAGTCACTCAATTTGTTGACAAAAAATAAATTTTCTTTTCTAAGATTATTTCATTAAGTTTCCGCAATTAGTTAGGGTATAAAAGTAAAATTATACAATTTATTGTTAGTAATAGGTCCAATTTCCTCTTAGGGGAGGTTAGTACAATTTTAGAAATTATAAGGGCGGTGAGTGCTAGTGTTAAAAACCTTAGGAGAGGTTTCTGCAATTATCCCTAAAGTTATTAGATTCAAGAAAGAGGGTACAGATTATTGGAGAAGTTTTAATACTAATAAACTCACACATGGACCCACCAAGGACAGTGCCACATTTGACAAATTCCATGATAGTAGTAAAATTTGACCTTTTGTGACCAATCGACTGGATGGGTGTTTCTTGTAGATCCCTTCTTAGATTGCTTTCGGGGCGATTTAACTGTTTACTCTCATGCTTAGTCCAACTTAACTGTGTGAGTTTCTTTCAGTTTCTGAAAAAAAAAAAAAGTAAAATTTGACCTTTTGTAGGTTATTTCTTTAGGATTCCTTTTTGTTGGAATTGTATAACACGAGTAATTCAAAACAATGAGCTTTTGCGGCTACTTGGTAGATTCAAAGGTTGTGATTTCAAGAAGAGTTGCATTTGGTCCATTTTCAAAGGCAGATGTAGTCCCTCCATCCCAACAAACCTCCAAATTTCCATTGTTCCAAAGTAATGAGAGTTAAATATTTATCTGTCATTTCAAATGGGATCTCTGTTTAAGTCTTGCCAAAATTGGTCGTAGCATTCTGTGAAGTTTATCATTTTAGATTTTCACACACCGGTACATCTTACAGTCAGAGCAGGATAAACTTAATGACACTGGTGAATGAGCCTATATAGATGATAATTTCAATGAAGGGCATATTTGCGTCGTTTGAAATTTGGTGGGAATATGCAAGATTAGTGCAACTCCTGAATGATTCAGTTCTCATTTATTTTAGGATTTTGCAATTTTTGGGCATAGCTTTTTCAGTAGGAAAATAGTTTTCTTTCACATTTTCCATAAGTGAAATTTGGACTTCGGAATTTTTTGACTTTCCATCAACAGATAGGATAGGAGTAGATTTAGAGTTCAATAAAAGAGAAAAAATAAATTCTCAAACACTGGATTTCCCAAGTCTAGTTTAGCACAATCGACGAGTAAGAGGTAAACATGCATGAATATCAGCAAAGGCTGGCTAGTATG